CCTTTGTAGAACAGTATTTGTACTTGAAGCGGTTAGGCATTAGTCTCCTGCAGATGTCTGTTGATGGGGTAAAACAATAGAAGATGAGATGACTGCTAGGTTGGACATACCTTTCCTAGAGTAATTGGCCTTGTTTTACATGTGGGATATTCCTTGTCATTGCTATGTCCCTAAAGAGTTCTATTCACAGTATAGCAAACCTAGAGGTTCTTAACTAGCTCAGTGACACAAGCCTGATAAACATTCAAAAAATAATTAAAGAGCTGTGTGTCTGTATGTAACAGAATACAGCTGAAATGTCACCTTTTGGCAGTCTGGGTACACATTGTTATTATTTAGTACTGACAAGCTATATTATTTTATTTTATTTTTTAGCAAAGGCACAGAAAACTAGATTTATTACACCGGAACTAAAATTTGAATCTTGTAATGCCTTGGAAGAAAACAGGATTCTGACTATACTTTGCTAGGAGTAAATGTTTTCTTCTGTTACGTTCTCTCCTGGGAGTTAAAGACCTTTAATCTCTAGCTCTTTACTATCAGGCCATCACAGTAAGAGAAGTAGTTAATGATTTTCACTGGTTCATACAGGTATATCAAAGAACTTTGAACATAGCTACTGTTGTTTGTTTTATTTAAAGCTATGCAGAAATTGTTAGCTCAGTCCTGACAGAATTAAAACTTTCAAATTATTTCATTAGGAATCTGTGTGTTGTTACTTAGTATGCAGACAGCTCTTGCTCCCTAAAAACACAACGTTCAGTCTTTGTACTTCATCTTAAAAGCTATTTGAGAACTGGAGACAGTAGTTGAGTAGGCCTAGATATATTTTCTGACACTATGACTGAAATTTTCATCAGATGCTTTCCTGCACAGCAAATACAACTGATATGTGTTTTCAGGTGTCAGTGGAACTACTGAATTGTGTGGCTCTATTTTAAAAGGAATATCATCTTCTTAAAACAAATCACCAAATCCCTAGAGTGGGTTTCATCTCCCTTGGTATCATAGAATCATAGAATCTTAGGGGTTGGAAGGGACCTCGAAAGATCATCCAGTCCAACGCCCCTGCCAGAGCAGGGTCACCTAGAGCACATCACACAGGAACGTGTCCAGGTGGGTTTTGAATGTCTCCAGTGAAGGAGACTCCACAACCTCCCTGGGCAGCCTGTTCCAGGGCTCTGTCACTCTCACAGTAAAAAAAAAAATTCTGATATTCACCCTGAACCTCCTATGCTCCAATTTGAACTCATTACCCCTTGTCCTATCACTGGTCATCACTGAAAAAAGCTTAACTCCATCTTCCTGGCACTCACCCTTTACGTATTTGTAAACATTGATGAGGTTGCCCCTCAGTCTCCTTTTCTCCAAGCTAAAGAGACCCAGCTCCCTCAGCCTTTCCTCATAAGGGAGATGTTCCACTCCCTTCATCATCTTCGTAGCTCTGCGCTGGACTCTTTCAAGCAGTTCCCTGTCCTTCTTGAACTGAGGGGCCCAGAACTGGACACAATACTCCAGATGTGGCCTCACCAATGCAGAATAGAGGGGGAGGAGAACCTCTCTTGACCTACTAACCACACCCTTTCTAATGCACCCCAGGATGCCATTGGCCTTCTTGGCCACAAGGGCACATTGCTGGCTCATGGTCATCCTCCTGTCTACCAGGACCCCCAGGTCTCTTTCACCTACACTACTCTCCAGCAGTTCAGCCCCCAACCTGTACTGGGACATGGTGTTGTTCTTCCCCAAATGTAAAACTCTGCACTTCCCCTTGTTGAATTTCATCATGTTTCTCCCCGCCCAACTCTCCAACCTATCTAAGTCTCTCTGAATGGCAGCACAGCCTTCTGGTGTGTCAGCCACTCCTCCCAGCTTAGTGTCATCAGCAAACTTGCTGAGGGTACATTCTATACCCTCATCCAGGTCGTTGATGAAGATGTTGAACAACACCGGTCCCAGTACCGACCCCTGTGGGACTCCACTAGTCACACACCTCCAACCAGATTCTGCCCCATTGACTACAACTCTCTGACTCCTTCCTTTCAACCAGTTCCTAATCCACCTCACTTCCTGATCACCAAACCCATACCTGATCAACTTTTCTACAAGGATGCTGTGGGAGACGGTGTCAAATGCTTTACTGAAATCAAGATAAACCACATCTACCGCTCTACCATCATCTATCCACCTAGTAATTTCCTCATAGAAGGCTATGAGGTTAGTCAAACATGATTTACCCTTGATAAAACCATGTTGACTGCTCTTGATGACCCCCATGTCCTTGATGTGCCTGGAGATAGTGACAAGAACAAGTTGTTCCATCACCTTTCCAGGGATGGAGGTGAGGCTGACCGGTCTATAGTTACCCGGGTCCTCCTTCTTGCCCTTCTTGTAGACTGGAGTGACATTTGCTATCCTCCAGTCCTCAGGCACCTCACCTGTTGCCCATGATTTACTGAAGATGATGGAGAGTGGCCTAGCAATGACCTCCGCCAGCTCCCTCAGCACCCTTGGGTGCATTCCATCTGGACCCATTGATTTATGGATGTCCAGATTACTCAACTGATCCCTAACCCAATCTTCATCTACCATGTCAAACTCTTCCTCTATCTTGACTTCTTCTGGGGCTATATGAATCTGGGGCTCATAGGGAGACCCTGCAGGAGTGAAGACAGAGGCAAAGAAGGCATTCAGCACCTCTGCCTTCTTTATATCCTCTGTCACCAGGGCTCCCACCTCATTCATCAGTGGGCCTATATTGCCTCTAGTGTTAGCTTTATTTGCTATGCATTTGAAAAAGCCCTTTCTATTATCCTTAACTTGCAAGGTTAAGTTCCAAGGAGGCCTTGGTTTTCCTAGCTGCCTCCTGACATCCTCTGATAATTGTCCTATATTCCTCCCAAGTGACCAGCCGCTCCTTCCATGATCTATAGCTTTTCCTTTTCCACTTGAGTTTGCCCAGCAGTTCCTTTTTTAACCATGCTGGTCTCCTAGCTCCCTTACTAGATTTTCTACCCATTGGGACACACTGATCCTGTGCTTGCAAGAAGTGGTCCTTGAATGTTGACCAGCTATCTTGAGCCACTTTACCTTCTAGCACCCTGTCCCATGAGACTTCCCTTAACAATTGATTGAGGAGGCCAAAGTTTGCCCTGTGGAAATCCAGGGTTCTGGTCCTGCTGGGTATTCTGTTCCTCCCACACAGGATCCTGAACTCTACCATCTCGTGATCACTGCAGCCAAGGCTGCCACTTACCACCACTGCTTCAACAAGGCCCTCCTTGTTGATTAGTACAAGATCCAGCAGCGCTCCTCTTCTAGTCGGCTTGTCCACCATTTGCATCAAGAAGTTATCATCAATGCACTGGAGGAACCTCCTAGACTGTGAAAGGCTGGCTGTGTGAGTCTTCCAGCAGATATCGGGGTAGTTAAAATCTCCCATGAGGACCAAGGACTGTAGTTGTAAGGCTGCTTTCAGCATGGAACTTGTACAAGCCTGGTTACTCAAGTATTTTTTTGAGATGAACTTGCCAATGTTTGTACTTTACACAGTTATCCTTTCTGTAGTTCCCAGATAAATTTGTTTTAAGTCTAGTTTGTATGTACTTGCAATACATTCCAATACTACATCTTAAATGGTAGCAAAGATCTACAGTTTGTCAAGAAAGTACTTTTCCACTGGAGTCAATTTTGACAAACAGTAAATCAAATTAATCCATCTGCTCTCTGGTTTAAATTTATATAACAAATTTAGCAACAAACTCATGTTGTATTTACAATGTAATCTATAAAGTGTATTTACAATGTAATCTATATTCGCAGTTTTCAAATTTACTTTTCCCCAACTATCATGGATTCATGTCTTGTCCTCAAAGTCTATTACTTATCCTTCTTCAAATCACAATGTGGCAGAGATGGGCTGATGGTGTGTATCATTACCAGAATGATTACAGCTGTACTGCAGGACCCAGAAGAGAGAAAAAGCACTCATTACTGCTTATTATACTTATCATTCATTGTGTGCTAAGCCTGTGTAAGCACACTGAGAGAGGTAAACAATGCATACAATATGTAGAGAAAGAATGATTTGAAATGTTTCTACAGTAGAACATTTCCTCTTAGTGAGTGTGTCAGTATAAAATCCTGGTCTGATGGATTTTCTGTTACTACCTAGGGCAGTTTAATTTTTTTACAGCTTCTTGGGTGCTACCGTATTATTAATAGTTCAGATTCTTGTTTGTATTTTACAGGCAATGTTCCTCCATTTTGGGCGCAAGTGTAGTAGCATCCATTCTAACCTCCCAGGTTTTTCAGATACGTTTATAGCTCTCCCATCCACTACAGTCAGGTTTGTTAAAATAAACTTTAAATGTTTTATGCAGGATTTTTTGTTCTTTCTGCACTCATAATGTGTTGGAGCTTTTCCTCATACACGTTCTGCTAAGCTCATTCTTTTTCTTGCTATGTCCTAGTCCCCACAGACTTATCTTCAAATTTTAAATTAACAGGAAAGAAATACCAAGATGATATTTGAATGCTTGCCTGAATCATCACTAAAGCTTTTTGTGCAGAAATCCTAATAAAAACATCAGGGCTGTTTGGGGAATGGTTTTGCTGAGGTTTTTTTTAAGGTTGGGTTTGATCTGTTAGAGATTACCTGGCAAACTCTTATTTTCTGAACAGCTTTATCTTTTTTTCTTCAGTATAGGTCTTCAAGAAAATAAAAGTTATTGGTAGTGGTTAACATGGATTCACCAAGGGGAAATCATGCTTGATCCCATAACATCCTCATTAAGAAACTCAGGAAGTGTGGATTAGATGAGTGTACAGTGAGGCAAATTAAGAGCTGGTTGAGTAAAGGAGCACAGAAGGCTGTAATCTATAGTGCAGAGTTGAGTTGGTGGACTGTAGCCAGTGGTGTCTCTGAGGGGGTCAGTGCTGGGCCCAGTCTTGCTTAGTTTATTCTTCAATGACCTAGATGAGCAGTCTGAGAAGCTAACCTTGTGGCATCAAGATGTCTTGGCATTGTTGGAATATAAGCTTGTGGTATTAGAAATGGAAATGAATGTTTGTCTTTCAGCACCTGATATTGTACTTTCTCTGTGCAATCCCACAAGAAATCTCCCCATCTCCAGCTTATTGGATCGTGACAAGTGGACGGAGTGTATCCTCAGAAAGTTCACTGATGACATAAGACTGGGAGGAGAGGCTAACACACTAAAGGGCTGTGCTGCCATCCAGCATGACCTGGACAAGCCAGAGAGTTGAGCAGATGGGAACATAACAAGGTTCAACAAGGGCAAATGTGAGCTCCTGCAATGGGGGGAACAACCCCCTGCATCAGTATAGGTTAGTGGTTGACCTCCTAGAAAGCAGCCAGGAAAAGAAGGATCTACATGTGAAGATCCCATGGTTGGTGGGGAGGAAGGTGCCCCAGCAGAAGTTTCCCTGCAACCCATGATGAGATAGCAGCTGTGCCCCTGAACTCATGGAGGAACATGGTGCAACATTCCTTGAAGGTACCAGGAAGGGTGAACTTGGATTTCGCTGCCAGTGGACTTGGATTATGTAGCCATGGAAGACTCCGCATCAGGGGCCGTGACTGTTCCTGAAGAAGCCTGTGACTCTGGGGAAGCCCATGCTGTAGCAGCTTGCTCCTGAGGGACTGTATCTTCTGGGAAGGACTCATGAAAGAGACGTTCATGAAGGATTCTCTCCCATAGGACAGACCCCGGGGGGAAGCAGCTGTGGAAAACCGACCTCCACAAAAGATACGTCTCTCACCCAAACTGATTGCAAAAGAGAGAACAGATGGAAGAGAATGAATAGAGAAACAATGGAAACACTGCGGGGATTGTGCTGCGGGTGGTGACTTACACAATGAAGGACGAAGACGGCCAGCCCCACCTTGCTGTGTTTGCAACCAGGACCCAGCCCTTGCAGAAAGCACAGCCTGGGGCTGGGAGCTGAGCAGACAAAAAGACCCATCAAACAATCGTTGAGGGCTAATACGGGTCGTTGCCGCCTGTTGTCCGCTGCTGCTGGAACAAAGGAGAGAGAGGAGAAGATAGAAGGAAGAGGAATAAAACAGATGAAAAGGAGGCTTCTGTGGCTGAGGGAATCAGCTTGTTCCTGCTTTTTCTCGTGGAGTCTGCCGCAACAGAGCTGAAGAAACGGAAGAAGGGAGCTGGAGCTAATACTGCATGTCTTTACTATGATTAAGTGATTTGCTATACCACATACAAACCACATCAGAGCTGGAAATGGACATCTGAGTTTTAGGCCATATTCCCAAAGTTTACAGAATATCAGTATTGAGTTCTTTCAAGGAAGTTATTCTCCTTCCTATGAACCCATTTATCTGGGAACTTTAACAGGAATCATTCAAATAAAGTATTAATTCAGTTGTCATATTCTGCCCCTTTCCTCCTCTATCAAAAAGCCATTAAGTCTTATGCTTTCAGAGGTGTAGCCTATTTTGCCTTATTTCCTGAATATCTCATTCTAAATAGTTATACGGGATCTTTAGTTGTATACTTAACCTCCACCTAGTTTAACAGCAACAAAAAGAAAGTTTACATTAAAGAAATTTAGCAAATGCCAAAGATACTTCATTAAAAATTTCCAGTCAATATTGAATTGTTTCAGTCACAGGCAATATAGTTGAATATCCAGTAAGAGTGGTTATTTTAAACAGTTTTAATAGCATGCAGGGTATAAGTCAGAAGAAAAAACTAAAGCTATATTTTCCTACTTTTGATGATTGCATACATATTCTTTCTAGCTTTCAGTATTGTGTTATTTGGAGCTGAGAAGCCTGTAACTGTCACTTCAAAATGTCTGCCTACACAGAAGCTGTAAGAAAAAAATTTCTAATTTTATAGAAAAACATTAACAATGCTTAAAGAAAACAGTTAGACAACTTTCTGTATTTATTCCAGACAGAAACTCAGACACTTACATTAACAGACATTTTGCTCTTACAAACCCACCTTTAACAACAATTTATATTTCTCTACAAATAAGAAATGAACTTACACTGTAAAGGTAACATGTAAAAATATTTAAAAAATATGTCTATATTTGCACATTCCCAAGTGTATCTACAGTCTAAAACCCCAGCTAAGGCACTAGCACATAATATGTTCACATTAAAAGAAACCAATTTTAAACATCCACAGTTCCCTTTAATATACCAAGTTATTTGTGTTCTCTCACTACAATCTCACTTAGGTATTACTGCATAACCAGGAGCAAATGGGCATCACAGTCAGCCCAGCTGAGCTCATTTATCTTGCTTGGTTTTTTTAATCAGAGTATTCCATCTTGTTTCACTTAAGTTATAAATTAGACATTTAAAATGAGACTGCAAATCTAGGTGTCTCTTTTTTGTATACATAGTGGAATACAAAAAAAAGCAAGTTAGAGAATGCTAAACATTAACAAGTATTTTCAATTTTTCAAGAACTGGATATGATCTTTTATATTTAGATAATGGTACACAAGAACTTTGGTGCAAGTGTTGGAGCAGTGCTTATTCTTACTGGCTTCTTACAAAAGCCCCCAATTCACCACAATTTATGTGTGTACAGCAGATACCATTTCTGAATTCTTTCCTGACAGGGCTGAACTTGCTGGTGGAGGCTTATACAACCATATTGCCATGACCACAGCGATAACCGTGATGATCTTGCAAATAGCACCTGAATGCAAAGAATAGAAAAGTTCTTGTTTCAGTTACCTTTAATAGTAGACAAGAGTGTTTCAGTCATACACAGAATTTCACAAGGTGAGTTACACTGCAAGATTTAAATGGATGCTTTAAATTTCAACATATTTTACATTAACTGCAAAGGGCTTGTAAAGGCAGTCTTCCAACTGACTTCAGCTCCTTCGCTTGCCCACCAGTTCTTGCTTGCAGCAGCTATTGCCATTACTTCAGTTTTGTATTTGTTCCCTTCACTCCAGCATGAAGAGAAAGTCTTCCTGACTTCTTGTTTCAGTACTGTTCTTCATTGCATCAACATTCTCTTTGCCGCAAACTAAAACTCCCCATTATTAAGTATTGTATCCTTAACTACTCTAAATGCTTGTTCCCTTTACTCACCACTGGTACATCATCATATTTGTGTACCTTAAGGGAGTGGGAGGGGGCAAGAAGAGAAGAGGGATTGTGTTTTATCGCAAATATGCCCAAGAGATACTGAAAACTGAAGTTAAGACTTTCAGTTTCAAGTTTAGATGTTGCCTACAGTGCACAAATTGAACTATCACAGTTGCTAGAAGACAGGTATCACAGATGCAAGCTTAGCCTGCCTTCCCCCTCCTAGACACACACACACCTCATATATTTTAAGCGAACAGATTGATAAATAACTCGAGAACATTTTTTACTAATATTAAGAGGTTTTTTCAAGATCTTGGTATTAATTTAGGGAGAAGAACTGCAAAATGACAAGAGGAAAAAAGCTCCTAAGACCTTAAACTGCCAACATATCCAGACAGGTAAGACTGAAACATGTGACAATCACTTAAAATTCAGTAAATAAAGTATGACACTGAAGATAGACCAAAGTATAAAAGATTTTTTTTTTTTTTTAAATTTAGGTAATTTTTAAAGAACCACTTCATATGGTCTTGCTCTTTCCTTGTTGTTTTGCTTTTTATTATTAAAAATCAGGGTTTTTTAAAAAACCACTGCTGCTAAAAAATAAAAGTTGAAGTTCCTGTTTTAAAATAACTCCCACCTAGAAGTCAAGGTCAATATATTTATATTACATGTATTGTAATATATGTATGTATATGTATATATGTATATGTACATGTATTTAGTATGAAAAAGTCACTTACTTATGCCCATCAGCAGATAAGCCATTCTTTCATTGTCATAAACCCAACAGGCTCCTTTAACGTGACATTCATTAATATCCCAGAGAGTACAACTGTTGTCTATAGCAACACCAAACAAAATTGGACCAGGAATAGTACCTAAAAAACACAGTAATGTTAGAACACCTGAGTTACTTACAACAATCTTACCTGGTCTTAATACATACAGTAAAATGCTAAGCTGGTGGGGAAGATAAAATGGGATAGCCACACACTAAAGATAACTTTGGGTAAAAAGTCATAGGACTTCTATTACATATCAAGTGTGTCTCTTCCATTTTCTTCTCACCTAATAGGTAGAATGCAGAGCATCAGTTATTTCTTTATACAGCTCTCACTTTATCATGCAAGAGGTCTGTTCAAAGACTTGAAGTTTTTATAACTTCTTCAGTTTCATTGCAGAAGTGTAACCAAAATTAGGGGAGAAAACAACTAATTAAGAAAGAGGATTTTAACTGAAAGAAAATAAGTCCTTTTTCTCAGATGATACACTAATCTGTTTCAAATGAAGAGAGCACCAAAATATGTCCCTGCCTATGGCAAGAGTGTTGGACCTAGGTGGTCTTTAAGGTCCCTTTCAACCCAAACCATTCTGTATTATTTTAACATGTTCAATTATACCTTTTTTGTATCCCTCAAATGTAGACAAGATTCCAGAAAAAAAAAAAAATCCCTAAAATGAGTAGTGTTTACAATTATTCCTGCATGAAATTTAACAGATGTGTGATTTTAGTTACAATAGTGCTTTATAAAGAACAATTGTTTTGCTTCCAGGTATGACCAATTTTATTATAAACAGTCTTGGTACACCACTGCACGTCTACATAACCTACACAAGCCCTAAACCATTCCTGAGCTAACAAGCAGCTATATCCTCACTACAGCTTTTCTGTCTAGAACCTCTGTGTCATGTCTCAAGTCTACAGAACAAACACCTCACTGGCACAAACAATGATACTAACTGGCAAAAGCCCAGCTAGACCTCACATCAGCCACTGACATAAAGGACAATGGAAAGTCTTTTTACAAATACACCAACAGTAAAAAAACAGCCAGGGAGAATCTCCAGCACTTATGGGATGCAAAATGTCATTTATCAAGAATTCTGACAAAAAGGAGAGTTCCCAGATGACTGGAGGCTGGCTAATGTGACACCCATCTACAAGAAAGGCTAGAAGGAGGATCTGGGCAACTACAGGCCTGCCAGCCTGACCTTGGCACAGGGCAAGTTCCTGGAGAAGCTAATCTTGAGTAAGCTCACACAGCAAGTGCTGGGCAGCCAGGGGATCAGGACCAGCCAGCATGAGCTTATGAAAGAGAGGTCTTGCTTGGCCAACCTGATCGCTTTCTATGACCATGTGACCCACCTATTGGTCACAGCCTATAAGGCTGTAGACATTGTCTCCCTAGACTTTGGCAGGGCTTTTGACACCATCTCCCACAGCATTCTCCTAGAGAATGCTGGCAAGTCATGGCATAGACAAGTGTACTCTTCACTGGGTAAAAAACTGGCTAGATGGCCAAGCCCAGCCAGTTGTCAGGCACTGGAACAGCCTGCCCAGGGAGGTAGGTGGTTGAGTCACCATCCCTGGAAGGTATTCAGAAGCCATGCAGATGTGGCACTTTTGGACATGCTCTAGTGGCCAAGGTTGTGGATTTGTGTGTGTTGAAGACTGGACTTGGTGATCTTAGAGGTCCTTTCCAACCATGATGATTCTCTCAATGCAGAAAAATTCTCCTATCCTCTGCTGCCACAGATCAAAGAATCAGAGAATGCCAGGTTGGAAGGATCATCTAGCCTAACCTTTTTTGGGCTCTACCATAGTTTTTATGAGATAGCTCAGCACCCTCTCCAGCTGATACTTAAAGCTGTCCAATGTGGGAGAATCTACCCCTTCCCTTGGGGGACTATTCCAATGCTTAACTGTCCTCATGGTGAAAAATTTACCTCCTGTGTCCAATCAGAATCTCCCATGGAGCAACTTGTGCCCATAACTTTCTGTGTTTTCCATGTGACTTCTTGTAAACAAGGAGTCTCCATCTTCTTTGTAGCTACCTGTTAAATACTGGAACATGGTAGCAAGGTCTCTCTGAAACCATCTTTTCTCAACATTGAACAAACACAGTTTTCTCAGCCTCTCTTCATATGACAGGTCTTCCAGTCCTCTGGTCATCCTTGTGGCCCTTCTCTGGATCCTCTCCAGACTGCCTGCATTCTTTTCGTAGAGCAGGGACCAGAACTAACTTCAAGTGTGGTCTGACAAATGCCAAGTAGAGCGGGATGATGATTTCTTTATCTCTGCTGCTGATGCCGTTGTCGAAGCCCAGTATTCTGTTGGCTTTCTTTGCACACTATTCACTCATGTTGAGCCCACTATCTACCAAGACCCCCAGGACCCTTTCCAGAGGGCTACTGTCCAGACAGGTGGATCCCAGTCCAAACTGCACTCCTGGCTTATGTGTTCCCAGGTGCAAGACCTTACATTTCTGCCCATTGAACTTCATAAGATTCCTGCTAGCCCACTCCTCCAGTCTTTCCATGTCTTCCTGGAGGATGGCTGTCCCTTCTGAAGTGTCAGCTTCCCAGTCATCTTAGTATTGTAAGCAAGCTTCATCAGGGTGCTCTTGATCCCAATATCCAGGCCGCTTATGAAGATGTTAAATAGCATTGGGACCAATATCAATCCCTGGGGGACCTCAGTTGTAACCAGTTACCAGTTTGAGGAGGAACTATTTACTATCACCCTCTGGGTACAGTCTGTCAGCTAGTTCCCCACCCACTGCACAGACCATTTGTCAAGGCTATAACAAGTCAGTTTCTCCAGGAGGAGGCTGCAAGGGACCATTTCAAAAGCCTTGTAAGAGTCCAGGTAGACAACATCCACCGCTCACCCTGCATCAACCAAGCAAATTACTTTGTCATAAAAGGCAATCAAGTTTGTCAGGCACGATTTTCCCCTGGTAAATATATGGTGGTTTTTTTCCTATCACATGCTTCAACTGACTTATGACTGCCCCCAGGAGGATTTGCTCTACAGCTTTCCCAGGGACTGAAGTGAGACTAATGGGTCTGTAATTACCTGGGTCCTCCACTGGACCCTTCTTATAGATGGGGGTGATATTAGCCTTTCTCCAGTCCTCAGGGACATCTACTGATCTCCACAACTTGTCAAAGATTATGGAAAGCACTGGTAAAGACAGAGGTGAAGAAGGTATTGAGGACCTCTGCCTTTTCAACATTCTTGGTGACTAGTTGACCTCTCCTGTTAAACAGCAGGATATCTTGAGTGAAGTAAATCAGAGAAGCCCTCATACAACACTTAACACTACCTACCAGGTAATTTCTATCTGTACAGATGCCAATTCTTATGATTTATTGGCAGAATAACCTTGACTAACCAGAGTTTCAGCAAGTGCAGCAAAGAACTCACACTGGTAGGTATCTGATCTCAAACAGGAGGAAATGGCTGCAGCACTAAATATTAACAGAAGTCTTTTCAGTAAATGAGCTTTGACCTAGTCTTGAATTATACATGGCATCTAAAATGTGTCTAAGACAAAACCAAGAGATTAAGATATGCCTGAGAAAATTCACGTGTGGTTCAGAGATAACCTACATTAAGCTTAGTGTTTTACTTAAGGTGATTTGCTTGTCTCACTGAAACCCTGGAGTTACTTGCATTTAGAATGTAAATATTAGATTTCCCATAAAACCTCAGTAACTGAGTATAAAAGTGTCTACAATTTCAATAAAGGCTAAAAATAATCAAAGAAATTGAAAGGGAAGGGAGAAGGAAAACTCCACCTATGCACTTTAAAATATGCTGTCATGGCAAGTATAGATACAACTGTATGCAACAGTGTCACTAACTTTTGGAACTTGAGGTGTTAACTATATGAACCTGTTTTCTATATACATAATGTTTTCTTTTTCAGCTTTCAGAACAGGTGTCCTTTTAAGGGACATGACAGCAGGTGCCTTCTGCTGAAAGACTGACAGCTACCTGCATTTTGTTAATACTAATATGAACAAGAAAGGCTAAAATTAGCATGCATGCCCTATTTAAAAGAGGAATCTGAATTCTGTCCTATAACAAGTGTACTCTGTAAACCAATGACAGGCTGCTTCAAATTTATATGAAAGCTTCTTGCTATATAAACCTAGAAAAACATCCATTAAATAAGTTATGCAGAGGCCAGTGTTTCAACAAGGCAGTCATACCCAGTAGTCGTAGAAACAAAGACTGTACTCCAAGAGCAAACGCACGTTGTTTATCTGACACACACCTGTAAAAGAGATTTACAGTTTAAGACTTGGCAAAGAAGTTTTAGCTGTTCTTTTTTTCCAATTTGTCCCTCAGTGAATGTTTTGTCTTAATATACTACTTTAATCTGTTTATTGCAAAGGGTTTTAGAAAACTGAAGAACTTTAACAGGTATTTGGAGAAAAGATAGAAGCAACTTCTATAGCTCACCAAGGAATTTTACATTTAATTAGTTTAACAAAACAGTATAAACAAAAAGTAATTTGAAACCTGGCACTACTGATGCACAGGCTAGTTGAATACTTTCTTCATCCAAGCACATGGCACATGTATTGCTTCTTGCTTTGACAAAAGCAATCAGGAGTGCTCCCATAAAAGAGGGATCTTGCTACAAATAGGGAAGTTGGGTTTTTTTTAATTGATTCAAACAGTACCTACCAACCAAATGCCATTACAGAGATAACAAACAGTGGTATGACTGTCCTCTGCTTCAAGTTCTGCCTGCTTATTACACCAAGTAACACAACAGGAAATCCCTTGCACAGTGGTTTAAGTCCTCATTCCAAAGCAAAACAAATTAGAATATTTCACAGATCTGATTTTTCAGAAGTATGCTACTCATTTCCCAGCCCAAAAAACATACCTGAGAATGGCCACAGTTGTTGGAGTAACAGCCATATATGTAAAAATGACAGCAAAAAAGAAGAAGGTCAGAAATAAAGGTAATAATTTGCATTGTGTTGGGCATTTCCCAGGGACAGCTTCATAAAGAAAATCCTCTGAAACACTTTCTCTTTTTGGTTTCCCAATACAGGAGCAGTTGTGGTATGTCTGCAAATAGTTTATAACACAATTTAGCTTTAGGAGTGACGCGAAGTGACAGTAGCATGGTAGATGTTGAGTCTGCACCACACTGAATAAAACTATAAATCATTACTTTACAGTGTAGGAAACAGTCCATTTTCCCTGTGATAGTTTGACACTAACCCTCATTTTAAAAACTGTTTCAACAGAACTTGACTGATCCAGCTCAACTGAGCAAAAATTACTTCTGTTTTTGTGGTCTAAGAAGGCAGTGTTCATCTCCATTTTGTGTGGGGCAAGTTTTTAGGCACGGGCATAAAAAAACCCCAAACAATTTCACACTCCACAGTACCCAGAATCATACAAAAAAACCAGCAGACTGAGCCTTGAAATGCTAACTTTTGCACTCAAATCTTATTAAAAGTAAGTGAAGACAACATCAGTTATTATGGGTTAAGCTACAGTATTCAAACCAACGGAGTCTTCTATAGATATAAATAGATTAAAAATGTTGAATACATACTTCTCAAAGAAATCACTTATTTGAAAACATTAAGCACAACAGGGGGTGTCAAGAGTTGGAGGGAGGAAATATCCCTTTTCTCTGTCCCCAAGAGACTAGTTCCATTTGCAAAGTGCAACATGAACAAAGGGTAGCAGAAGTTTCAGTTCCCTTCCAGCTGAAAATAATTCACATGGTTCTCAAGTCATTTTTCCAATACTGAAATAAGCTAATGTTAACTGCTACCTAGTTTATTAACCACAATTACTGATTATTTATGTACAATTCAATAGTTACTCAAAAAAATTTTAACTGCCTTGACTAATGTTACTTGAAAGGGGTTAATTCTCCAGATTCACATCTACTTGCACCACTGTTTCCTCAAGCCTTGTTCTTCACGCTTAGGTAATACATACCCAGTTATAACCATAGCAGAACAAACTGGAAACGACAACAGTTCACATCCTTCCAAGATGCTGACAAGTCCTAGATCACTTAGCTTGACAGTCTTAGCTATAAAAACGTTCATTTTCACACTGGCTGTACTTGACAGGAAGAGAGGTAAACTCTACTGATAAAACTTAACAGAAGTAATGTTGGACTGCTGTTGTAAGCAGGTGAGCAACTACAACAGCTATGCTATCAATTAAAGTTTGCTTTCAAAGAAAAAATTAGTGAAGTGCAAAGTTTTCACAGCCATAAGTAGTCAGCCTCTTCTGTTTTTTTTTCCTAGATAATGCCTCCTCATTTACCATTGTCCCTCAACAATTTATAAAGCCCCAGAACCAACCCCTGGCTCAGCCTTCCTACTTTTAAGTTCTTTCAGAAGACTCTCAGTTCTGGGAAGGCTCAATGACAATCAGGCATTTTCATGGCTTACCACTCCTATAATGGGGGCAATTGACATTCAAGGTTTCGAAATGCACAGAAGCAGGATGCCACACACACAATTGACACTACATTACGCTTAAAGATCTAGAATAAGAACTGCTTAATCTCAAGACAGTTGTTGATTTCTACTTTCCTGATTGTTAATTCAAGCTTATTTAAGTGTATTCGGGTTTCCTGCATTTTCAGCATTAGGAAGCTTAGGACAAGCAACATTTGCAGTGTGACAAGTGAACAAGTGAGAAACATGCTGTGACTGACCAATCAAATGTTCCAATGGAAAGACTCAGAGGTGATGAGTGACATGCCCATGAAGCTCACAGAACAAGGCACACTGTCAGTGCCTACAGCTGTTGCAAAGAAACCAACAGCAGAACGCAAACAGCTACGTCATTTTTGTGTTTCTCCCCGAGTTCATTAAGTGAATGTGAAAGTCTCTGGGAGGTAGCCAGACCAGCACAGGGGTCAATGTGGCTCAGACTCACAGAGTACAAAAAAAAATAATAGCAGAATTTCAAAAAAAGCAATAGATTTGAACTGACTTCAACACACATATGCCTTCCCAGCACCTGGGGAGGCCCAGGATTGTGAGAAGCATGTTAGAAAGCCACCAATGGGAATCACACACGTGTTGTGAGTGAACTGTCTGTTCCAATTGCTGTACTTTGCTAAACATAACTTACATTTGTATTGTGCTTTCAGTATATTTTGTATCATTCTGCTAAATAAGAAATCCTGTGCAACATTGCCAAACAAATATATTTTATATTCAATATTACACACTCCATAAGTGTAATATCTAGAAGCACCTGGTCAGAGATTATTGGATTCTGATGCACACCAACATGCATCCTAAGTGTTTCCAATTCACACAAAGTTTTCTTTTAGTAATTACCACTTAGATTCAGAAATACTGTGATTTTCTGTCATAATAAGGGGAAAGTGTTTTTGATATAAAAATCAGTTTTCCAGAAAACCAGAACAGCACAAATATGTTAGACACCTTTTATGCTATAATGTACCTTTTTCATGTTGTTAAAAAAACGTGATGCACATCCTGCAAAACAGGGAGAAAAGTATTCAACTTCATCTCTTCCACAAACCGGGTAGTACACAGATCGCAAACATCTGCAGTCAGCATTGCATGGTGCAGTCAAGTTATGTAGTGTACCTGTCCTGAAAGGTAAAAGTTAAGAGGCTTTAAATAAAGTAATTTAAAAACAGAGGATATGTAAATAAGTAAGGCAGTATTTGTAGGAAAATAAATCTCTAAATATTCAACTCAGGTGATTCATGCAGCTAATTACTTAAAAATAAGCCATGTTCCTAGTAGTTAAAACTCTAGAAAGAATTCCCATTTCAATATACCTAGTTATTTTTGTGCTATTATTTCCATAGATTATTCCTCCAATTTTCATTCCACAGAACAGGTGACAAGATTCTGTGTTCTAACCTAATTCTCATATCATTGCCTCTCTCATACACTTATACACTTGAATTTGTTCAATTTAAATTTAAGAAAAAATGCAACATTAATATAAGCAGTGTTTGGTGTTGTTTATTCTACTGATCATGTTCTAAGCATTGGAGTTCTTTTTTCTGTCTTGGATTCAAGTCCATTTGCAAACCACTGCATTTTTACTGTTTAATATTCTTACACAAACATCTAGATTGTTCCAGCACCAAGACACCTGCACATGCTAAATGCTGGGTGCCATGACATACTAAGTCATATCATGCCCAAAGGGACATTAAAGATCTTTGGCTGTTTAGGGAATAACTACTAGTGAAGAACAGACTATTCTAAACTCTTGCTAACTACTACTACTCTCAATTTCCTTTTAATACATCAAGACAAAACAAAACATTAAGGTTTTTTTTTTAATTCTATGATGTAGTTTTTTTATGTGTTAACACCAAATCCAGCAGTGCATTAAAATATATTTACCCATTATATGTTTCAGAGACACCTGCAAAAGGCTCATTCCCACACTTAGCAAATAAAAACACTGTGTTTAATAGTAGGGCCACTGTGTAAGTGCCTATCATGAACTTGATTATGCTTCTGCAATCCATTTTGCACTTGGAAACCAAAAGGCCACTTATGATTTGGCCTAGTGCTGCTGCTGGAATTAACACGAGCCCTAGAGAGAAACAAGACACCCGCAATTACACAAAAATGCAAGATATAACTAGTGAAGCTAGTGCAATTTCATGCTAAGAAAAAAAATCAGAACAGTTACCTTTTCTTAAATGCACTCCATGTGATGTCATTTTCAAAGCATCCTACCAGAATCCATCAGCACAATTAATTTATTCTAACCTTGCAGTATCTTTAACCTTTACAGAAGTTCAACTTGACGGTAGAATTTACATTTGCCCAAGTCAGCAAAACTAGATTACTAAAGAGTACTGCATATTGGCCAGGAATCTCTGAACACCAATAGACTGCTTCATTAAAACTAAATGCTCTTTCATTGCTTCAGTGTTTTTGTCTCATGTTAATGCTCTTTGTTATGCATCTGTAGTAACTTTTTAATAGGAGACTATAATCACTATTACACAGGAAAGCACAGTAAGGCATCTAAAGAAAGATTTTTAAAGGTCTAGATCACTCTGTCAGTTTTGCTGTCATAGTCCATATAGTCCACAATTATGCTCTTTGCACTATTAGGACTCCAAACACATAACTAAGTAGGGTTTGACGATACAAAACTAGGTGGATTGGCAGACACTCCAGAGGTCTGTGCTGTCATCCAGTGTGACCTGGACAGGCTGGAGAGCTGGGCAGGGAGAAAACTAATGAAGTTCAACAAGGGCAAGTGAAGAGTACTCCATCTAGGAAAGAACAATGTCATGTACCAGTACAAGTTAGGGGCTGATATGCTGGAAAACAGCGCTGGAGAAAGAGACCTGGGAGTCATGGAGGACAACAGGCTCAACATGGGCCAGCAATGTGCCCTTGCAGCCAAGAGGGCCAATGGCACCCTGAAGTGCATTAGGTAGAGTGTGGCCAGCAGGTCAAGGGATATTATCCTCCCCCTCTATTCAGCTCTGGTGAGACCTCATATGGAGCGCTGTGTACCATTCTGGGCACCCCAGTTCAATAAGGACAAGGAACTACTGAAGAGAGGCCCACACAGGGCCACTAAGACGAGTTTCCATCCCTGGAGACATCCCAAACCTGCCTGGACATTTCTTGTGTAATTTACTCCAGGGGATCCTGCTCTAACAGCAGGGTTGATCTCCATAGGTCCCCTCTAACCCTTACCATTCTGTGATTCTGTGAATATTCTTATATTGCTAATCTAGAATACAACACATAACTCAGTGTAATTTGCACTGACCTGAGACAGCTGATTTTAAAGGCAGTTCAGGTACAGTGGCAGAACTGCACTGGACACAAATGTCTGTAGTCCAAGGGAGTTGAAATAGTTAACATGGACATCAGTAACATTTACACTAGCTAGCTCAACATCAGCTCAGGTACAGCTAGATTCCAACATTAGTGTAGGCACTTCTTTAAAGCTGTGTATTTGTTAACACTACCAATATTTTCAACTCAGTAAGAAAGTCAAACAAGGCTTACAGACAAAAAACTACTTCAAACTCTACTTCACTGTTGACTTCTGTTTAACAATTGAATATGTATTACAATGTATTTCTATGTGAACCTTGCTGATACTTTGTTTTGAAGGAATGCCTGGATAGTGTTAGTACAATCCAGTATTATCTAGAAGAATATCATTCAGATTGTCTCTCCCAAATGTATTTCTGCCAGAGAATGAGCACTTCAGCTAGCATATGCTTATACTATAGCACAACACAGCTAAAGTAATCTATCAAGACATGTTCCAGAAATATTAAGTCTGTCACACTGCAAGTACCTTTTGGCCTTGATTTGGTTGCTGTTCTGCTCTGGATCAGAGTTAATCCCATGACCCTACCTAGTGCAGCTCTTCCATAAGATTTTTCCATTTGTTTCTCCAATACTCAGCTTTTCATAGCCTTCTCCTGTTCCACCTATTACTTCTGCATGTCAGATAATAGAAGTGACAGTAACGACAGGAACAGTTACACAGTAGTTTTATAATATATCCTGATTAGTCATTTTACTGTAAGCTATCTCACTGTAATGTTGTAGTGGAATTGAAGACAGGAAAGGCCAAGTCTACTCTTTACTTGCAGCAAGCACTGCTTTTCCAGCTGCCTTCCTTTAGTAGGGGCTAAGGCTGTTTTTAAATAAGGAAAATTCAATGTTTTTCACCAAAAACAAGAAAGGAATAAATTGGCTTCAGCAGCACACAAAATTCTCATTTGACTTCAAATACAAGTATCAGACCTTCTGAATTTACAAATAATACATAGCTTTGCACCTTTGATAAATTGAATGCAAGGCTTTTCATAGAACACACAAGAATATTATACTGTTATGTAATATACTGTTTCTGCTGTGAGAATTACATTTAATGTGAGTACATTCACAAATACCTCAAACACAAGATGCCTATGATGTTAGTGATGTTCGGCACAATATATTTAATATTTAAAAATGAAAAGCCACATTACCTCCAAGAGTTGCTGAAAAACTTGATGTCTTTCCAAATTGATTTTCTATAAACTTTGGTAGAAATGTGGTAAAGCCAGTGGCAACTAGTGCTTCTGAAGAACTTGCTAGTATTAGGGTCATAAGTACTGGATTCTTCAACAGAATCTATAAGGGGAAATCAGCATAACACCCAGGAAATTACTTCATTGCAGTACCATGTGAACTAGAAGTCACTATATTTTAAAGCAGATACTCTCATGTGTAACTCCACTAATATGCTCTTCTTGCTTGAATAATCTTAAGCTTCAATAAAATTAATAAGCATTAAATTATCAGTAGCATTGGAGATTTCATTATCAAAAACAATAAAGCAGCAATTACCTTTCTAAACAATTCTGTATTATCTGAAAAACAATTTCATCTGTCAGAATATATCAGTCTCAGTAAATGTAATATTTTCTTACCAGGAGAGCCACGGGAAAGTCTTTAAAACTTTTTCCAATATTCTTGGCCTCGACAAGTGCCTCACTTCCATCATTATGTGTTTCAGAGACTTTTTCAGCCTGTATTTTTGCTGTTCCTAGGAACAGGCATATTTATTGACAATTAAAACATTGAATACCTGTGCTCTTAGATGTAATGTCACAAAAACCCACAAACTTTTTCTTTCCTTAGAAGATCTACCTCATACATTTTAAGTGTTCTTCAGTATTTTATAGATACAGTTCCATCACAGGATTAATAATGTACTGCTGCAGAAAGAACAGTTTGACTGAAAGCATCATACTTCCATTAGAAGGCACTGTGGGTAAGATAGATATTACCAGAGATATCATAATAATTCTATACTATCCTGACACCCTTTTTTTTTTTTTCAATTTAAAAAAAAGATTCTCATTCTCCACAGTTCCCTACTTCACTGTTTTTCTTCCTTCATTTCTCTTTCCAGGCAAGCATAGTAGTTCTTTCAGATGCTCTTCCAAGGGACTCCAAGATAATACTTCACTGAATAGAAATCACTCTGGGATACTTTGATTTTCACTTTATTGCCTCATCCAGAACAATAAAACATAATATAGCAGCTTTGAATACAGTCCTGGGTGATGCAGCTGCAAACATCTTCCAAACCCTCATGGATCAGTTTTCCATGCTCTACCTGTAGATCATTACATATACAAGATTCTCTCTCTAGCCCATTGGCCTTGTTTTAAAAGCTGCATATCAAAACCAAGATGCTTATAATCAAGTTTGAGCCAGAGACAATTAACTAAGAAACAGAATCAAAGGGGAATCAATCACTCAATACAGCAGCCCACAATCCACAAGTATAAACAGTTCTCTCTTCCAAAGTACCCCATTATTGTTAAACATTCACCTGGCAGGTGTTTTGGAAAGCATGAAAAAGGTATTATAAGGAGCCAAACTGCAAAAAAGCACCCAAGAAACGGTATCCACCATGCTCCAAGCCAACGTGGGTCATCTTGACTCATCTTTGCACTGTAAAAATAATTTGGAAAAAGCATGTTTACCATATGTTAATTCAAATCAGCAATTTCAGATGTCATTGAGCTGGAATATATTTTTTTAATACCGATTTAACAGAAAGCCTTTGAATAATGTAATTTTCTTTGGTTTTAAATGTATCAAATTTGTTTGCTTGTTTCAAGCACATTAATCAACTATATTACAGCAATATTGCGTTGTATCGAATAAAGCATTCAACTGATTTGTCAAATGAATTCTGATTTAAAGACCACTATTTGGTTCCTGATTTCAAGATCCTGTAGCATTATTAAGATACTAAAAAAGCTGGTTTTAGAAAGAATCTTCATAGTCAATGAGTTATGTGAAAAACAATACAGGAGTTTAGAATGCCACTGCACTGATCCAAAATCCCTAAAATACAGGAAATAAGTGTAAATGAAGTTGTTGGTTTGGACAGTAGTATAATTTAAAACTTTTTTTAACAGTAGACTAGTGCTCAACTAGCAGATTTTCTAGCAACTTCTTCCCCTGAAGGTAAGTAGGAGTATTCTACTCCTCATATCCCACCTCAGGGAAACTTATTGTACAATAAGTCAATAGCTGAAATCTAACCCTAAATGCACAACCAAAAGACAAAGCATTTTTGTGTTAATCAGCTTTAAAATAGCTAATACCTCAACAAGTTAGAACTAAGTATTTGCACTACAGAAAAACTTTCACATACAGAGGAGCAACTACTCACTGTGGAAGTAAATCACTTGCTAGAAGCCCCTGTGAATGCAACTTGTTACCAAGTTAAAGAACCATTTGAAAATGCAGTATTTTCCAAACAAAACTACTCCTCTATTCTTCTGCCCCATATGAAGAAAAGTTGAAGATTTTAGTAAGAGTTACTAGGAAAAGGAAATAGAAAGAAAAAGACTAAACTGCATCTTGCCTTCCTGGGATCTGGATATCTATATAGATATTAAGTAGTTGGCCTCCTAAGACATAGCCAATAGCAGGGCCCAACAGTGACATGGCATAGCCAATTCCTAGAAAAGAAAACACAGCAAGTTAACAGTACATTCTTAAAGCTTTCTTTAAAAAAAAAAAAGCATAAATCAAGTTCAGACCAAATGGTTTCTATAATTCCACCTGATCTTTCAATATCATTACTTCAACAGAACACAGAAGACAAAATTTGTACTTGTTCCTCAACAAGAAAATTCATAAATGCTGCATCTTAGGTGTTCAGCAAAGGACACTTCCCTGACAGCTTCTTTATGCATTATTAGATTGCCCTTGCACATCTTGTGCCTACAATCACAAGTGAGCTTTTAAAAAAGCTAGTTAAAAATCCTTAAAAGGCCCTCTAATGTTGCAGGTGTAACCATATCCTACTAAAGAGCACTTTCAGGTCTATCTCATTTTTCGGCCTTAGGAGAAGATCTTCTTGATGTCACAATAGTCTCCTTTACCTACCAGTCAGATTCATGTGGCACTTGAGCACTGCTGGTAGGAGAACTGTCTTTACAGATAAAGGCTTGCAACCAATAGTAACTAGATCTGTCTAAATAATTGGGAATACATGCATTCTTGCTGCTGGTTTTCTAAGCTTTTCCACAGGTTGAAGAATCTGGATTTGTTATTTGTTTCCAAAGTGCCTGGATCTTACGTATTTAGTATGATTTAACTCTTTCAACAGCAAGAAAGCATGACAGGGGATGAGAGGGAAGGGGTGCAAAAGGAGACACTCAAGCATCAGTAAGTCAACACAAATACTGAACTGAAATATCCCAGGGTTTTTTGTATTTTAGAAATACTGACATGGCTATAAGGATCTTTCTCAGTCTGCATTCATTCAACAGAACTTTGAACCTAGCTTAGAAGGTGCCTGCTTCCCCCTACACACCATTTAGTTTCAATCATCAATTGGAATAGCTTAACTTTTCATTGCCTTTAGATGTAGATGCTAGCAGCCACTTACAGACACTAGCAGAAAGTTCTATGGGGTTTTTTTTGCTGCCTTCTCACAACACTTCTTGCACTAGGCAAAGCAACACAATATGTTTTAAATCCTCAATACATTGCATAAAAGCAAGAAAAATAAGGCTTAATGTAGCTACATGTCAATTAACTTGCCTTCTAGTTTTGTTATACTGGGCAGAATACACTGTTCTTCTGAACACAGCAGCTGCCTGAATATTGCACAGGCATTAATTTTTTGTATTGGTCTGCTGTGTTTCAAGTTCAAACACTGATCACATTCTCCTGAGTTTTCAGGCTGCTTCTTGATCCTCTAATCATGCACGCAGCCCTAATTCTGCTCTATTTATTTCACTGACCTCAGGAAAGTGTAATAATCATCTCAGTACAAAGAAACAGCAAAAATAAAAGCTTTAAGATTTAACACATTCAAGTACTCATTTTCTTGGCATCAAATGAAGTGGCTTGTCTGCAACAATTAAGTAAGAATTGTATGCACACAGATGATTATTTCAATTTTGCACCCTAAAATACTGATTTAATCTGGAAAAAGAGTCCAGCAATCTTAGATGCTTTGAATTACTGCTGGGAGTTACCAGTATAGCTAACAGTTCTATCAGCTTATAACTAAAATGGGGGAAATAGCAAATACCTTAATATCCATAGAAAACACACTTAAACTGTAATCAACTTAGCAGTAAAAATGGACATAGTCTAGAGAATGTTGATTGGAAAGATTAAAAGCCACTGCTAACAATTAGTTACTTAGCTTTCAAACAGCCCCCAAAGTAAGACAAGCACATTCTCCATGTTTCTAGGCAATTTCTTTACTTTCAATTAATGAAATATAATTCCAGTGTTTTCTTCTCAAGTGCCAAATGTTGATGTGACTAGAGAACTGTATTGATCATATGATGCATAGCAGTGTCCCTGCACTGAGATGACATCCTACTGCTAGAAGGTAAATAAATAAAACTATTAAAGAATACAGTAAAGACCTGTAACAGTGAAAAGTAAATTTTTCTACAACTTATCCTGTTGTTAACAAGCAGGCTACATTAACTGTTTGATCACTTTCAGCTACCAACATGAAAAAACAGCCAGAGAGGTGAGCAAAGTAGCCTAACCTTGCTCTGCAAAGTAACTATTGAAAAAACTTGACACTTGCAGTAGACTAATACCTAATTTGCAGAGTAACTGATATAAAAATGTTTTATGCACATAAGTAAACAATTACAAGATTGATTTAATTAGAGGAAATAATAAAAGCATTTTTAAGGCATTGCAGTCTGATCTAGCCAGATAATGTGTTATAAATAGTTTAAAAAGTTACCTATATAAAGAGAAGACTTGTGTTTTGGGACACAATCATCAATAAAAGCTGTACCCAAAGTATACAGTGGAGTTCCTCCAATTCCCAGCATCAGCTGTCCCAGGATAAAGATATATAGATAGTTGGGAAGTGAAGACTTTGTGCTGGTACTGCAAGTGAAGTTAGCAGAGGTTGTTCCTGGAATTTGACATGTGTCTGAAAGACAGAGAGAACAAGGCCAAAATTCTGTTACCCAACACACAGTCCAACTGCAGAAAAGCCTGTACTAAATTATAAATTAAGTACTGATAATGCCAGGCTGCTATTTTAATTTTCTGGCCCTATATGACAGTGCCCTAAGTTTTTATGATATCATATTCCCCAAAAGAAATACGATCATGGCTTGGTTTTTCTTTCCTTACCTGGAAAAAAAGATGGATGACACTTGATAAAATGTTTTGGCTTACTGACCAGATGCATGCATACTGACCAGCATTACTGACCAGATGCATGCAAAAAACTGTCAAATGGTAATTCAAAAGGTTAGTGAACAATCCGACATAATAGACACTTTATTATGTTTTTGTACCTTACAACAATTCTGATGAGAACTAACAACTTCCATTCTTTAGTGACAGAGGAGCCTGAAAAACCTGAGGAATGTTGGACTGCTAGAAAGGTAACTCTAGTCACAGTCACAAGCAAAGACAGATTTTCCTTTCTCATACACTATTTTGGGAAGTGTTTCCCTGAAAAAAAAAAACCCACACCATATACAGTGTGCTCATAGACTGCACACTGTTAATCTCCAGAATGAGAAGTTAACATAAAGCCTCTGTATTTGCCCACACACAAAGAGAGAAGTGGAGGTAGAAGGGCCTAAGTTGCACCTACTCACGTGATGTTTGGCAATATGAGGAAGGAAGAGGAAAGAGGAAGACAGGGGGTATGTCTTCTCCTCTTCTTCCTCTTTCTACCATTGCACTTCTAGTAGCAGATAGCCCCAAGTGACAAGATCAAAAAGAGGAGCATGATTCTTTCCAGGTTTTTCCACAGAAGAGTAAACAACCCTAAGGAAGAGGATCAAGCTGACTTAACGTAAGGTGACCAAAAAGGCCAACAGCATCCTAGCTTGCATCAGGAATAGTGTGGCCAGAAAAAAGGTGATCCTGCCCCAGCACTCCACACTGGTGAGGCCACACCTCAAGTACTGTGAGCAGTTCTGGGCCCCTCACTACAAGAAGGATGTGGAGTTGCTGGAGCGTGTCCAGAGGAGAGGTACCAGGCTGGTGAAAGGTCTGGAGAATAAGCCCTATGATGAGAGGCAGAGGGAACTGGGATTGTATAGTCTGAGGAAGAGAAGGCTGAGGGGAGACCTCCTTGCTCTCTACACCTACCTGAAAGGAGGTTGTAGGGAGATGGGAGTTGGCCTCTTCTCTCTAGTGAATAATGACAGGACAAGATGAAATGGCCTGAAGCTGTGCCACGAGGGGTTTAGACTGGATATTAGAAATAATTTATTTACCAACAGAATTGTTGAATAGCAGAACTGGCTGACCAGGTAGATGATGGTATTTAAAAGAAATGTAGATACAATGCTTAGCAGCATGATTGAACAGGTAAATTAGTTTATGACAGAGGGATTTAGGTTATGGTGGGACTTGATTAACTTCAAGATCCCTTCCATCCAGGATGATTCTATGATTCTATATGGTGAAAACAAGCCATACTCAGCAAATATATGAAAATACCCTTCAGATCAGGTAAGTGCACTGATGAATTCTCAATACTTTGCTACAAAATTACATCATTTTTCTCAGGTTGTTATACATTTGTGAACACTTTTTACTTAAGTAAAACTGTCCACAGTTCGGGTTCACAGGACATAAACCACAAGGAAGTGCTTGCCACACATCAGGTATTTAAAGGGAACTATATACACTGATGTTATCATAAATCCATACATGGGTTTTATCATGCCTTCCTCCAGAAGAAGCAGCACCATAGTGGAGTCATGTAACACACAACAGGTAATTCAGTGCTGTTGCACAAAAACTGGTCAATGAAGAGTAATAGGAAAAGAGAAGGAATCATTAAAATTTTTCCTCCTTTCCACTTAGGAGAAAACCTTATTTTAATACAATTTTTTTAACATAACACTATATGGGGAACATTTTATTATGAATCACTAGTTTGAAAATGAAGTGTCTTAGGAGTATACTTCCCATTTATCGTCAATATGCTTTATCAATATTACTCTTTTCTGAAGGAAATTAAGTCTTAAATCAGGTTAACGTTGTACTATTTACATGCACAGAATCTAAAACTGACTATAGAAGGAAACCATGCCATATAGGATCTTGTTAACGTCCAACATTTAAGTAGTATATATCTGCAGTTACAAATTAACATCTAATACCTACTGGGCAAGTCTAAGACATCATTAGCTAGTTATTTTATTGTAGTACAAAAATAATAGTATCTTGTTAAATATACATGAGAGAACAAGCAACGCACAGTAAGAAAATGCCATGAATTATGATCAAGGAAATAAGTTTAGCCTCATTTGAGATCTAGGAATAGCTATATGAAATAAGCAGATTACATATGGTAATGGTAATCAAGCTCACAGACTGAGGTTCTTCAGGAATCTCCACCCCACTCCACACAACTCATGTAAATTTGAAAGCCTGTACTATTGTTTATATAACTGATTACAGCCTCTTCCCTTCATTTTTCTAGCTCTTCAGCTTATATGGCCAAGGAAATTTATCCTGACATTGATACAAGAGAAGCTTACCACACTAGTTTGTTTTCAGAACCACATAATCAAGTCTAACGACAAAATTAAGAGAACCATCAATATGCACTTCAATACAGCTATAATCTTTTAACTTACATCAACTACTGAACTTCTTTTGTGTTTTTTTTAAAGTCAGCAAGTACACTTACTGGGTGGAGCCATGGATCATATTTAGTGTTTCAAATAAAATATTTTTTAAAGCAAAGACAGTTTACCACAAAACTATGAAATTAGTTTAAATGAGCATAAGTCAGAACTGCCAACAAAGAAATTCTTTCTACACCAGCCACTGATGTAATCCCCTTCTTGTACCAGTCTAAGATTCAAGCAGACTGGAAAAGTGGCACAAGTCAAACAGAATCACAGAATAGTCATGGTTGGAAAGGACCTCATATCACAGAGTCCAGCCATCAACCCAAACAAACAAAAAAGTAAAACACACTCACACAACAAAACTCCAAACAAACACGACCACCACCAAGTAATACCACCACCCGCCCCCCGTCCCCCCCCCATGTCACCCACTATAGCATGCCCTGAAGTTCCACACCCTTTTAATACCTCCAAGGTATTACAAGTGCAGACCGAATTTCACAGGACTTCACTCAGCAGGGTCTTGAAAGCCTCCAGAGAGACTGCACAGTCTTTCTGGATAATCCGTTTCGATATTTGACAGCTCTTATAACAAATTTATCTTCCTTGTGTCAAGCGCCATTTCACACTTGCTGTAACAAACACCCTTCTCGAATGTAAACATATTTCAGAAAGATCCGCGACTAAAGTTTAGAAATATATTGCTTACAGCATCTGCTGGTTTTACAGTTCTTTCCACTGTATACAGGTAATCAAAGGCAAAACTTTTATTACAGACAAACCACTAGATGGAGCTCCTTACTACAAGTATCCGAGTCAGCTGAGACACTGACGACCCTATGTAACTAAAAAAGAAACCAAAATAGCTGGTTACATCTAGGTTACAAATTTGAGTTTGAAGCCTTTCTGGCGATTAGACAAGATACGGTGACTAAACATTTTTGTAAATAGCTAGACTACTCATTACTACTCTTTCAATGGATTTCTGAAGACTGTTACGTTAAATATTTCCAGTGGAATAGTTTTGTAGCATTTCATATGCATATATTCAGAAAAATATCTTCATGTAAAACAGTAAATTCCAGGAAGTCTGTAAGCCTTATATTTGGAGGCTAGATGTATTTTGTTTTCCAGGCTAGAGTTATTAATTAACTGGCAGCCATACTAAATATTACACTGAACTACACTTTGAAGTTGTCTTGAAGGTGAAACCCACTGTGCTGTCATAGAAGCCATGAATATAAATAATCAAGTAACCAACTAGGAATTGTTAAAAATAAATTAGGTGGTAGATTTTAATGAAAAGCATCAGAGTTTACTCCCAATACATTAAAATCTCTACACACTATTCAACCAAACAAATGTGCAATAAGGTTTCTTGGAGTGTGGTGCTATTAAGTTCTGCAGCTATACTTAAGATGCTTCATCAATATACAAACTACCTAAACCAAATATCCTATAAGATCATGTGCCCTGGTTAACTGTTAAAGGATGCCATTGCACAGCACTTGCAGATTTACATAGTGTCTGTCATGGTGCAGACATTCCCTGTACTCTTGTAGTCATTTACCTTAGTGTTTCGTTTAAGTCAACTTAAGTCCTTAAAGCTGTTCACCACAGTCACAGCACAGATACCTGCAATTAGCAGTCAAACCAGCATAAATTCAGTCAGCTTACAGTGCCACAAATAAAGCACATGTTCCATTTAAAGTTTTTCCTACAGGTTTTAACTTTCAAAAGTCAATGTAGAACATGAGCCCTAATAAGCTATCAACACCTAAAGCATCATTAATGGCAGATGAGGTGGCAGATGTTTGATTAAGTAAATTGAGATTTCAGCTAAAATTGGTAGGAGCAAGAGAGATAAATTGCAATAGTCTACCATCTCCCTTCACACTCCCACCTGTCAGTATTTTGCTTTAATACAAAACCCCTTACAGTCAGTTTGGAATTTTCTTCATATTAAATTCAGCTTCCATACTAGTGAAGCAGGAGAGTAATACCTAAACTGAAATTGAAGAGAAATGGGACTGTAATAGAGCCAAGAGAAGGTGGTTGCCAGTTACTAAGGGGTAATGATTGATGTCTAGACAGGTCATGAAGTGTATGACATGATTCACACTTAAACTAATCAACAACCAGAAGACTGAGACCCTTCCATCAGATTGCTTAACAGCTACTGATTTTAGTGAGCACTATGCTTTCTCACTGAATGCATAAAGTAATTAGACATTGCAATAACAATTTAGACAAAGATTAAGTCATCCTGCTTTAAAGACATCTGGATGTTCCATTATAAGTTACAAGTGTGCCACTAAATTGACACGCAATGACTTGATTTGGAGCACACTGCACTTAGTCTTGTTTTATGAGGAAAAAAAATTGGTGAGATTAAGAACTGGCTTTCCACATGATTTTAGTACTGCTTCTCTCAGTATAGCTCAGTACTGCTTGTTCACTCTATCCTAAAGCAACCCACAATTTCTAATAATCATTTTAGAAGGACTTAGTGAAACCTGATAATGGATTACTGAAGATGCCTGTAACAGTTCAAAACCCAAAAGAACTGCAACATATAGCCACCTTTCAAAAAGGGGACACGTTAAGTCTAACATTTCTTATACACCACTGAACTAACTTGCACGCCTATTCACAAAGAAATGCCAGATAATTTTTTTTATTAAAAGTGAATTTTAGTTGTATTAATCAATGCAAGTCAAAAAAGCATTTTATTCAAGTGTTGCTTATGAGCAAAAACTGATACTGATGCTGAGATCTCTTCTGAAAAAGAAAGCTCACTGTGCAGAGACAGCTCTTGAACTTCGGAGCCTCGCAGAGTAGTTTTCTTTTCAGTACCAGAGCTAATACTCTATTTTCAGAACTTTAACATGTACCAAATTAAGAGTTGCACCATCACTACAAATATGTTTTTTTTTAAATCCCTTTCAAAACATAAGGATAAGCTTACCTTCAATTTTAGTTCCATAGTGGTATTTTCCACTGCTGAAGTGTGGTAAGGAAAAAGTAAGTGAGCCCAATCCTATCATAAAGGCTGAGAAAGCAAGCCATCGTGGTTTGTGTCCTCTTTCTCCAAAGAAAGATACAAACAGTGACAATATACAAAAAGCAATGTCATAGCTTGCAGAGATTAAGCCAGTGAGGGAACTGTTCAACTCATAACGCTTCTCAATTGTTGAAATACTAACGTTAATCAGGCCATTTACCACAATACCTAAAAAAAAAAAAAAGAGATAATTAGTGAAAGATACTTTAATTTGATAAGTTGCAAAGGTAAGCTTATCATATGATATTAGTGCTAAAACAAATATATGCACAAAGCTATATTTTAAGGTATTTATTAGCTTTAAAATCCAGGTATGTAGTGGATTGATACAGTGCCACCTAAAGACAGCCAAACTGCACAGGACTGCCCCATTCAATTTTGTTTTTTTCCTAGGGGCATTAATGATTCAACACTGAAGTGTGAAACCAGCAAAATACCATGCCTTAAGCTCTGTTCATGTATTAAGATTACAGATTCAGCTTGAAGCACAAATTTCTAGCAAAACTGATTACAGTGTTGTAAGATACTTAGAAATGAAAACTAGTCAAGATTATGACTTTCATCAGGATACAAGCTACCACTGAATCAAGTTCAGGACACAGCTTTCAAATCATGGTTGTTAAACATCACTTCCCTCCCTGCTGTCATGAAGGGGAGATACAAGAAGGCTTTTGAACTGACATCCTTTTTTGTAATATAAAAAAAGTATAAAGCTATTTAATTATAGTTTGCAACTCTTTCAGTGCAACTGAGTTGGTTTACTAATAAAAAACTTCATCCTGAAGTGAATCTTGAAGTTCTCTGAAGCAGAAGTATCCTAAAATCTGAAAAAAAGGCCTTGCATGAGGTGCCTGGGCACACTCGAACTCGAAAAAACTGATACAGGAGTAGAAGCAACTAAGCTGCCATTGCCAATTCATGCTTATACACAACATTTTTACAAAAGGTTTTGTTTTAGATACTACACATTGAATTACTGATCCTGCCTCTTGCTCTGTTCATATGCAAAACACTAGTTTGATTTACAAGAGTTTACTCGTAACAGAATCCTATTTTGGGACTGTTACAAGTGAGTGAAGGTTACAACCTTTACTTCCTATCAGAGTCAGATAACGACAGTCTAATTAAACTATGCCCATAAAATATATACCAACTGAGGAAGTCTTCAGAGTCAGAGTTGCAAATAAGATTAAGAGCTCTGTAATGTCTCAGATGACTGATAAGCATCTCGTTACATAGACCCTACAGTTATCCTTATTTCTAAAATCCAGCATAATTCTCTACAGTCATTCCAAGAACAGGAGGACAGATGGTTGGGGACAGTAATCAATGGAAGTTAGTTTTCAAAAAGCATTGCACCATTGAGAAGTGCAACTATACAGGCTGAACTTCAACAGATCTGCCTAGAGTGCTCTACACATGTAAAAAAAAATACTCCAAATTTGTGATCAACCAGCTCTTTTCTTACCAGAGCAATCCCTATCATAACTGAACACTTCAGCTTTCTTTATGGAGGCAGCTCCTGGAATAGTCTTAATTTTCTAATACCCTATTATGGCCTCATTATCAAGGATGACAACTGCCCCTGTCAGTCTGACCACCACACTTAAAATCCTATGGGATTAACAGAATTATTCAGGTGTTACACCACTGCCACTATTTATGCATTCAGCAGCTTTCCTTTTTTCTTCTTAAGGAGCACTGACCAATACTTGCATGAAGGAATACTATCCAAGAACAATACTAGCATAAAGGAATGCACAAACAAGTTTTCCCATTTGCCAACACTTCAAACATTAACTAAGGCCTTCAAATATCCACATGAAGTAGGTGCACTGTGTGACAATTTTATTACAGAACTAGAATACATTGTCTTTTACCTGTTGTTTAAGTTGCCACTTTCAATTTTCATCCCAAAAGACAAACATTTGCAGTTAATTTTAACAGATAACTAGATTTCATCTGTGAAAATGCAGCTGTGATGAATGGCAGTACAGCTTCTGCAATGCCATCATCTAGGCATTCATCACTACAGTACCTTCAGAAAAGACTGAACCTGGCTGATACTAATTTGATCTAAAAAAAAAGTTCTACAAGGACATCTTCACACTTAAATACTAGAATAGACATATTTTAACAGTTCTCATACAAAACCTTACTGTACTGCTACCTCTTTTAGAGATTTAGGTAGTGTGTACTGGCCCACAAAATCCAGATTAATCATAGAACAGCTTCATTTCTCTAATGAAAGACAGGAAGGAGAATTTTTGGTTCCTCCATTTAACAAAAACGTGCTCTAGAGCTTTTCTAACTATGGTGGCTTTAAAGCACTCCATTAAAAGTATATGCAGACACTCCATTAAAAAAATTATTAAGTCTTTAGAGTTAAAAAATCTAATCAGGTTATAAAATAGTAGTGTTACCTGAAGTTTTTTTTCATACAAGTTAGACTAGACCAGTCTCAATCAGTAGTTCTGTTGTTTTGTTTTATAAAAATACTACTGACATGAGGAATAAACAGTCCTCCTTGCACACAAATTAGCAAGGTAACTTCTACCTTGTTTGCAACAACAGCTATGAACTGCAGTACGTCCGGTTTCTGTATTGCAAGATGCAATCACACACTTACGTAACTCTAAGTGCCATAGATGTATTAGTTATGTAACCACATTCTACACAAAGAAGTGGTTTCTATTCTGGAAATACAGGTTTCACATATACTTGTCATTGTCTAGTGGTCAGGGTGAACCAAAAAACAGGTAACAGAATCACCCTCTGTTATTCCCCTTCATCCTCCCAAGAGATGATAAAATGTGAATAAGGAAGAGTGACTTAAAGGTTGGGAATTAAAACTGGAAGAGGTGTACTGGAAGGGACAGTAACATATGGAATGAGAAAAAGATACCTACAAATACATACAAAAACTGATCCTGATGATCACAAGTATTAAAGAGTCTCAAAGTCCCTTGTGGCAGAGCCAGCTTCAGAAAGGGGTTCACAGCTCTTCCCAGCACCTAAGAGATTTGGATGCTGAAGAGCATGTGGCGAGCTCATGAAAAAGCAGGAGCCTCCCTCCAAGGCCAGGAGAGCAGCAAGGAGCAGAGGAGAAGGAATGGGGGCGACTTCTTATCCTCCTAGCTTTTTTAGAGTATGGCAGGAAATGGAAGGGAATACTGATCCCTCTCTGTTCTGTCCCTCTCAAAGCCACCAGCATACTGAAGACCCTCTCTCTAGGTCCTCATATTGGTACCATAAAATTAGCCTGGCATCCCATAAGCCATAACAACTTTTAAAACAAAATAGTCAGAAATGAAGAGTTAAGTTACACCTGGAAAACTGAAATACAGAAGAAAGCTGAAACACAGCAAATCAGGTGCTAATGATAACAAACTCTTTTCTAGAGTCTCTAGAAAATAACCTAACAAATACATGCCTTCACTTAGACACACACATTCAAAAACCTACAGACATACATCAGGTTACTGCAGATAACTACCTACTATGTTCACTCATTGTGTAAATGTTAAGCATTACTTCATTACTCTTCAGTGCAGTAGCAAATAAACTGCCCTAGAAGTGCATTAGCAAGTTTTACAGACATATTTTATCTTCATCAGTGCTAGTTTCTGCCGTTTGGAGCGTAAATTAAGTAGCGAGACCCAAAGCTAGAGCACAGTACACACAGATCACACAGCTTCAAAATCTCAGTTGTGTTCTGTATGCTTCTGTCTGAAGTCTGTAGCTGCAACACATGAGTATTTTTATAACATTGCACATGCAGCACTGAATTTTTTGTCTGAAAATGTTTGGCTTTTCTGCTTCTCAAAGAGTTGCAATCAAAGTCTTCAGAACTTAATTTCCTTCCTACAATCTAATCAAAGGTAAGGTACTTGTCCAGAAAATTCAGATAACATCATTAAGAATGCCCCAAGGTCTATAATAGCTATGCCTATATCAGCTTTCAAAACCAGCATCAGAATTTATATTACATTAAGGCCCTAAATCTGAACTAGAGTAGACCAGTACCTCTCTGAGGTCTGGTATACACCTAGATTTAGATAACAGGACCAAGACCTGGATACATGTCATAACCAACGCCCACAGCATCCTAAAGGGACAGAGATTTTTATTATGCAAGACCTTTTTATGATTGGGAACCTATCCATAGCTCTAATAAAAGATAAATTTTAAGTGATACAAAATAATCATTCAGCTGAGCAAATGATCATATTAGCACATCACACTGGATTTTAAGAAACAGGGCTATAGCAAATTTAGTAGTGGTGAAAATATTCAAGATACACTTTGGCTAGTGTAACATAATACGAAACTTCCCAGGACCACATTCAGGGCACTTTCAGTTGCCTATCCATATTCTTAAGCTACAATAGCAGTGGCCTACTACTCAGCTAGCATTGAGATCTGCTGTTCTGTTCTTTCACCTCTCTGTTACTTTTTATGATGTTATAAAAAATAAATTGGAGCTAACAGCGGGACAAGAACACCTGTAGCATGACCTTTCAAATATGAGCCCAAAAATCTCCAGATAATTGTTTTCTAACGCAACCCATGTATGGCAAGAAAACACCAGCTTCTTAACAGGCTGAAGTCAGAAAGAGTCATAGGAACTGAGAGGCACCAAACAACATAAGTAGTTTTCAGATCCCTCTAGGTTTTAAGCAAAACTTTCTGCTCAAGTTGTCCTCAGACCATCCCAGCTACTTCAGTGTGGTTCCAGGCAGGAACACAAGCCTTTATATCCTGCATGCCTCTGGAACAGGCTGCCTGCTCTCCTAGCACTGAAGTACTTCTGAACCTCCCACCACCCCTCTACATCAGTCTCATTCTTTATGAGCAACTCAGATGAGCTTTAAAGCTCCAGTTTTTCAGGAAACAACTTGCTTTCCTAGCTAGTCTAACAAAGTTGAAGGGCTCTGAACATTAATGCAATAGCTCCATTTAACAGACAAACATCTAAACTTTACAAAACTGAAGTTTGTACATTTGGCACACTAATGCTTCTCTTCCCCATCAGCCATTTTTACTACTTTCTAAGCTTAAGGATTGCCAACACCCTAACAAATCTTGCTATGGAAAACACAAAATATAGACTAGAATATCTGAAGCTGAGCAACAGAGATTGAGAGCAAGATAAAATTCAGGTTCTC